GCTCTTCGTCACGCGCAATGATCCTCCTAGAAACGCCATTGGTCAACCTTGATGAGATGATGCGAATGGGAGGTCACTGTTGATATGATTAAGAACCGCTCTGCTGTGATTGATTGGGTAGCTTCTGATTGCCGAAATGGGGGTACTCAGCTTTGATGAACGGATGGGGCTCTGACGCCGACCAGAACGACGACCGGGTCTGCCACCACCAGCGTGCACACTCACAGCTGACGAGTAAAATCCCCTTTACAGAGGGGAGCCCATGGCAAAATAACATTCCGGGCATCTTTTGCCTTTGCCACCCTACACTACACACCATACAGGTAGGTTCGGATAAGTGTTGCATCCTCAAAAGTAATTTCACTTGAGGCATCCATCGACAAGTGTTGGTGCTTGCCATGTCACGGCTAGTGCTTTTTAGTTCTAAATAGTGTTGTATCAAACGGTCCCAAAAGAAGAAGCACTAGATCGTGTGCTCATGCTTAGTTTCGGATATCCCCCGACTTTAATTTGGCGGTCAATATTACGAAATATTGACATGTAGGCAGATACTCTTTATGTGTTCATAAGGGTATGTTGAAACCATGTGCTCTTGGTTACTGACGACTCATATATCCGATCATGACGATATAGTTCTTTGGGACAAATCTTCATCGGAAAAGAAACAAAGGGAGGAGAAGAAGAAAGTCGCTGGTTGCATCGTGGCACTTTACGTGCACGACGGTCATGGCCCATATATCCATTATCCATTGTTCAGTTAAGCTGAGCTAGCATCAGTAAGCACTTTCTACCTTGGTACAGACCTAGCACTTTCAACTTTTGTACAGACCTAGCACTTTAAACTTTTGTACAGACCTAGCAATCGACATACAAAACAGAAATTCTAACGGCACCAGTACCTACTGACACATTTGTTGCCCTTCGTCTCTGCATAAACTTGTTGTGCTGACTTGCAGTATAAAGGTATCAAATATGTTCGGCAGGAATACATTGCAATACACTCCAATAGGAGTCCATAATTGTAGTTTTTCATCTGGTAAAAGTAGAGAAGGACGGAGTGCTGCATGCACACAGATTCTCTCTCTCCACCCATTGAAAACTAGCTTTTCATTTTTCTTGTGAGATACTAATTCATTGATATCTTTTGAATAAAAATTTATTCTAAAATATTTTTACATATTTGGATTCCAGGCGACGAGATTGTTAAATGAAGATCAAATTGGAATATATTTGAAGTCCTTTAAAAAATTAATGAAACGTATTTCACTCCTTTGTTAAAAATAGATTTCATTCAATAATTAAATACAATGATTTCATTTGAATATTCAGAACACTGATTACATTTAACAAACATTGATTTCACTCATTTTTAAAAATGTTCCATTTAACTCAACAAAAATAGTTTCACTCATTTTCAAAAAGACCGATTTCACTCGTATAAAAACACATATTCCATTCATTTCAAAACACCGATTTAACTCACTTCAAAAGACTTATTTCACTCAATTCAAAAAATAATAATTCCACTCATTATTCGAGAGACCGATTTCACTTTCTTTAAACAAAATACACTGATTACAAGGAAAAAAGATTTCACCACACTAGTTTATGAATCATTGATTTCACGTAATTCAAAGTACTGATTTCAATCAACTAAAAAATAATTTGCTTACTTCAAAGAACCGATTTCACTAGTTTTAAACAACATATTTCAATCATTTCAAAGAAAATAGATTTCTCTAGTTTATGAATCATGTTTTTAGTTAATTCAAAGTACTGATTTCAATCAACTCAAAAAATAATTTCACCTATTTCAAAGAACCGATTTCACTTATTTCACACAATTAAAAGAAAGATATCAATGTACAATCTACAATCCTGAACTCCTCTTTAATTGTAGAGATACCTGTTCTAGCTTTTGTAATGTTGGTTCCATGGTTCGTATAGAAAATGAAATGTTTTAGGTTTCCCAAGGTTTTTGTGATGAGATGCCTCTTATATTGGTTATACAAGCTAGATATCATCATGTCGTGTTGGTGTGCATCTTTTAGTTCATCTTCATCGCCATTGGGTAAGTGGCTCTCCCAGGAGCGAGACGGTCGATGGATACCTTGTGTCGTGTCGACACAGCAGTTCCATACTCAAAAGTAATTCACTTGAGGCATCCATCGGCAAGTGCTGGTGCTTGCCATGTCATGACCAATGCTTTTTAGTTCGAAAATAATGTTGTATCAAACGGTCCCAAGAGAAGAAGCACTGGATCGTGCGCTGGTGCTCAGGTTCAGATATCCCCTGACTTTAATTTGGCCGTCCACATTACCGGAAAAATTGGCACGTAGGAAATACTCTTTATGTGTAAATAAAGCTATGTTGGGACCATGTGGTCTTGGTTAGTGGTGATCCAATATATCTGATCATGAAGATATAGTTCCTTGGAACAAATCTTCACCGGAAAAGAAACAAAGGGAGGAGAAGAAGGAAAACGGTTGCTACATCATGACTCTTTACGCACACCATGGTCATGGCCCATCTACCCATAATCCATTGTTCAATTAAGCTGAGCTAGCAGCAGTAAGCACTTTCTACTTTTATACAGACCTACCACTTTCAACTTTTGCACAGACCTAGCAATGGGTATAGAAAGCGGAAATCCACCCGTACCTACCGGCACATTTGTTGCCCTTCATCTCGGCAAGAAGATTGTTGTGCGAACTTGCAGTATAAAGATAGCAAATATTTTGCTGAAGGAATACATTGCAATACACTCTGAAAGGGTCCTTGATAGTAGCTTTCCGTCTGGTAAAATTAGAGAAGGACGGATGGTTGCATGCACACATATTCTCTCTCTTCACCATCGAAAAACTAGCACTTCATTATTCTTGTGAAATACTAATTCATTGATATCTTCTGAATAAAAATGTTACTTTAAAATTGCTTTACGTATTTGAATTCCCGACGACAAGATCTTAAAACAAGATCAAATTTTAATACATTTAAATGATTTAAAAATCAGTGAAACATATTTCACTCCTTCCTTAAAAACTGATTCCACTCATTAATTAAAAACAGGGAGTGTGGAATTTACCTAAAAATAGTTACACTCCTTTTCAAAAACATTGAGTTCACTCATTTACCTAAAAATAGTTACACTCCTTTTCAAAAAGAGTGAGTTCACTAGTTTAAAACTACTTATTTTCACTCAATAAAAAGTTTTCACTCATTTCAAAAGGCTTATTTCACTCATTTCAAAAAATAATAAACTCGTTAACAGATAGACCGATTTCACTCGTTTTAATTCACTCATTTCAGAAAAAAAGATTTCCTTAGTTTATGAATCATTGATTTCACTTAATTCAAAGTACTGAATTCACTCAACTAAAAACATTTCAGTTATTTCAAAGAACCGACTTCATTTATTCCACACAATTAAGAGTAAGACACCAATGTACAATGCACGATCGCCAACACCCCGTTAATACTAGAGATACCTGTTCTAGCTTTGGCAATGTTGGTGCCATGGTTCATATAGAAATGAAAGGTTTTAGCTGATTTCCCCCCAAGGTTTTTGTGATGAGATGTCTATAATATTGCTTATACAAGCTAGATATCATCATGTTGTGTTGTTGTATCATGCAGTGGTGGTGTGCATCTTTGAGTTCATCTTCATCGCCATTGGGTAAGTGGCTCTCCTTCGATTGCTCCTGTTTGGCCTGGTTGCCGTGGACGACTTCTTGCCTTTAGGTGGTTTTCTGCTCACCTCTAGTAAAACTGTCCGTGGAAAAAATGGAGGCCAAGTGGAAAGTTGGAGGGGCTAGAAGTGATGACAACCCGCTGTGGTGACAATGTTGCCGTTTGAGAACTATTCGAACCTTTTATGGTCTATATGCAGAAATATAGTCAGGTGTGTATTTTCGCGTGATGTTTTGGTAAATCTAAATGGAGTGATATGAGAGGGTAATGGTGGTGAGTTAGTGCTTTGGTAGTTAGTCAGGGCCGTCACATGAGTTCTATGTTCTGTATGTAGCTTTTAGTTAGGCATCTATTTATCTTAGACGTCATTGGCATGTAAAAATAGTTTTTGTTCAGCTTGGCAACCAACGAGGACTGAGACTGCTTGTATGCGTGAAGGATGCTTGTATGCGCGAAAGGTTGTTGTTTGGGACGTTGAGTATATTGAGCAACTCAAATCAAGATAATAATTACATGTGCATGACCCTCTTAACAATCAAGCAAATAACTTGTAGAATATGTGAGACTTCCTTTTGAAGGATAATAGTACATCTTAGTTCAATTAGATTTCCAAGCTATTTGCTAAATCTCTTGGTGCAATGAGGCGAGCATAACTTCGACATTGTAATTCATGGCGCAGCAACACACTCATGCTTCTAGTAAGGATGGATCTCGGCCTACAAATGGGAGTTTCGAGGGCCTGAACATTCTGGTCACGTGGAATACATATATAATGTTTCTTAATAAAGGGAAAAGTTTTAATCTCACTGCTGATCTACATACAAAATAATTAACTTTTATAAGGCAGGGTTCCAAATCTTGCCTCCTGAAAATTAACATCGCAAATCCACTTCAGTCCCAATATGTGTGCATATCAAACAGCTTAGCTACACACTAACACTATATTGGTTTCATCTCAAGAATCAAATGACGGCGACAACGTGAGAAGCACCGGTGGTGAGAGTGTATTTTAGGGCGGCATAAACATAAATTGCTGAAATCCCATTCCATTGTGGCAAGTGACGGCTTGCAGACTACATAGAAGCACATAGATACATTGTCATTTCGTTGGCGGTTTCAGGCTTTCAACACTAAGCAACTAGTGTATGAACAATACTTTCTAATACTAGTACACTGGGTATTTTCCAACTCAATTTTTTACTAATACACTAGTAGCTGAGCTAGAGGAACAAATCACCAGCCTCGAGCCGTGCTCCGGCCGGTCAGCAAGTAAAATTGAAAAGAAGAAGAAGAAGACGCTGCGGGTGTTGCTAGAGGCGGTGGGCAGGGACGAGGCCATCGTTGAAGTTCTGGGAGTAGCTCTTGAGATCGTACCCAAAACTCACGACACGACGCTTCGGCCGTAGCACGGCGTGCCTCACCCTCCAGAAGAGCTGCTTCACGGGCGCCGGCGCCTGCGGCCACGACCCCAACCTGCCGTGGCTCTTCCCCTCCGTCATCTTCCGGCTGCCAATGCTTCTCATCATGCGCAATGATCCTCCCAGAAACGCCATCGGTCCTTGATGAGTGATTAAACACGGCTCTGCTGCTCTTCTTTCTTGATTTGGTTGCTCCTGGTCTGAGATGGATGGTTTGCACAATGGGGCTCCTCAGCAGCCGTTTTATAAGCTCGCGGATTGGATGGGGCTCCAACACCGACAGCGACGACGGCAAGGCCCGCTGACAAGAAAAGTCTACTTTACACACGCGCACTCATGGCTAGCTGACGAGAAAAGTCCATTTTACACAACGATCAGCCCATGGCAAAATCACATTTCAAACATCTTTTCCCATTGTGACCCTACACTACACACCTACAGTCAAAGACTGATCAACGTGGCGATGGAATCTCTCTCCCATAAAAGGCAAAGGTACAGTATCCAAGGAGCGATAGGGTCGGTGGAAGCCTCGTGCCGTGTCGACACAGATGCATACTCAAAAGTAATTTCGCTTGAGGCATCCATCGACATGTGTTGGTGCTTTCCATACCACGACCAGTGTTTTTTTAGTTCTAAATAGTGTTGTACCAAAAGGTCACAAGAGAAGAAGCACTGGATCGCATGCTCGTGCTCAGGTTCGGGTATCGCCCGATTTTAATTTGGCCGTCCACATTAGTGGAAAGATTGGCACGTAGGCAAATACTCTTTATGTGTTAATAAAGATATGTTGGAACCATGTTGTCTTGGTTAGTGACGACCCATATATCCGATCATGATGATATAGTTCTTTGGGACAAATCTTCATCGGAAAAGAAACAAAGGGAGGACAAGAAGAAAGACGATGGCTGCATCCTGCTGCTTTAACGCACCACGGTTGTGTCCCATATATCCATTATCCGCAGTAAGCACTTTCTACTTTTGTAGAGACCTACCACTTTCAACTTTTGTGCAGTCCTAGCAATCGACATAAAAAGCGGAAATTCTAACAGCACCAGTACCTACCGGCACATCTGTTGCCCTTCGTCTCTGCATCTAACGGTACCAAATATTTTGCTGCAGAAATACATTGCAATACACTCTAATAGAAGTCCATGATAGTGGTTTTTCGTCGGGTAAAGGTAGAGAAGGACGGAGTGCTGCATGCACACATATTATCTTTCTCTCCACCCATGAAAAACTAGCTTTTCATTTATTTATTTTTTATGAAATACTAATTCATTGATATCTTTTGAATAAAGAATTATTCTAAAATCTTTTAAATATTTGAATTCAGGGCGACGAGATCGTTAAAACAAGATCAAATTTGAATATATTTTAAATGATTTTAAAAATTCACGAAACATATTTCACTCCTTTCTTAAATAATAGATTTCATTCATTAATTAAAAACACTGATTTCATTTGAATATTTAGAACACTGGTTTCGTTTCAGAAACATTGATTTCACCCACTTCAAAAGAATTGTTCCATTTAATTCAACAAAAATAATTTCACTCATTTTCAGAAAGACCGATTTCACTAGTATAAAAATACATATTTCATTCATTTTAAAACACCGATTTCACTTTTGTAAGACAACATATTTTACTCATTTCAAAGACAAAGGATTTCACTACGCTAGTTTCTGAATCATTGATTTAACTTAATTCAATGTAATGATTTCAATCAACTCAATAACAATTTCGCTTATTTCAACGAACCGATTTCACTATTTTTAAACAACATATTTCACTCATTTCAAGGAAAGAGATTTCACTAGTTTATAATCATTGATTTTGGTTAATTCAAAGTACAGATTTCAATCAACTAAAAAATAATTTCACTTATTTCAAGAACCGATTTCACTTCACACAATTAAAAGAAAGATACCAACAACTCCTGTTTAATCGTAGAGATACCTGTTCTAGGTTTGGTAATGTTGATTCCATGGTTCGTACAGGAAATGAAAGGTTTTAGTAGTCTTTCCCAAGGTTTTTCTGATGAGATGTCTCTGATATTGCTATACAAGCTAGATATCATCATGTCGTGTTGGTGTGCATCTCTAAGTTCATCTTCATCGCCAATGGGTAGTGGCTCTCCTGCGATTGCTCCTGTTTGGCTTGGTTTGACTGGACGAGCTTCTTGCCTTCAGGTGGTTCTCTGCTTACTTCTACTAAAATAGCCCAAGGAAAAATGGAGGCCAACTGGAAGTTCGAGGGGCAAGTGATGACAACCCGATGTGGTGGCAATTTTGTCGATTGAGAAGTATAGTGAGGTGTGCATTTTCGGGTGATGTTTTGGTAATTCCAAATGGAATGATATGAGAGAGTAGCGGTGATGAGTTAGTGCTTCGGTAGTTAGTCAGAGCCGTCCCATCAGTTCTATGCTCTCTCTGTAGCTTTAGTTGGGTTTCTTGCTCTATTTATCTTGGCCGTCATTGGCATCTCAAAATAGTTTAGTTCGGCTTGGGAACCAACGAGGACCCAGGCTGCTTGTGTGCGTGAAGTATGGTTGTATGTGCTAAAGGTTGTTGTTTCAGTTGTTAAATACTTATATTGAACAACATTAAATCAAGATAACAGTTGCATATGTATGCCCCTCTTAACAATCAAGCAACTAACTTGTAGAATATGTCAGATTTTCTTTCGAAGCGTTCAATCAGGGTTTCCAAGTTATTTGCTAAATCTCGTGGTGCAATGAGGTGAGCAAAGCTTTGGCGTTGCAATTCAACGGCGCAGCAACGCTCGTTGATGCTTCCAGTAAGGATGGATCTTGGCTTAAATTAAATGAGCAATTATCTACCAAATGGGAGTTTCGAGGGGCCTGAACATTCTGATTACGTGGAATACATTATAATGTTTCTTAATCAAAGGGATAACTTTTAGTCTCACCACTGATCTACATTCAAAATCATAAACTTTTATAAGCGAGTTCCGAATCATGCCTCCTGAAAATTATCATTGAAAATCCACTTCACTCCCAATATGCTATGCAGGCATATCCAACAGCTTAGTAATACTACACTTGTTTCATCTAGAGAATAAAATGGCAGCGTCAGCGAGAGAAGCCCCCGTGCGAGACTGTATTCTAGCGCGTGCGACATAAACAGAAATAGTCAAAATCCCATTCCATTGTGGCAAGGGACGGCTTGCAGACTACAATACATATAGAAGGAAGCACATTAGATACAATGTGTCATTTCATTGGTAGTTTCAGACTTTCAATACTAAGCTACTTGTGCATGAACAATACTGTCTAATAATAGTACACTGGTAGCTGAGCTAGAGGAGCAAATCACAAGGTCCAGCCTCGAGCCTTGGTCCGGCCGGGCGGCAAGTAACATTGAGAAGAACGAGTGTGGCTAGCTAGAGGCGGTGAGAAGGGACGAGGCCGTCATCGAAGTTCTAGGAGTAGCTCTTGAGGTCGTACCCGAAGCTCACGGCGCGGCGCTTTGGCCTCAGCACAGCGCGCCTCAGCCTCCAGAACAGCTGCCTCACGGGCGCGGGCGCTTGCCGCCACGTCCCGGACCTGCCGTGGCTCTTCCCCTCCGTCATCTTCCGGCTGCCGATGCTCCTTGTCACGCCCAACGATCCTCCCAGAAACGCCATTGGTCGACCTTGATGAGATGATGCGGACGGGAGCTCAGGGTTGATTAAACACGGCTCTACTGCTCTTCTTTCTTGGTTGATAAGCTAGATAGCTTCTGATCTGAGATGGACACGCACAATCTGCACAAATGGGGATCCTCAGCAGCCGTTTTATAAGCTTGCCGAATGGACGGGGCTTCGATGCCGACGACGACGGCCGGGCCCGACACCACCCACGCGCACTCACGGCTAGCTGACGAGGGGAATCCACTTTACACAACGATTATCGACTAGGCCATGGCAAAATCACATTTGGAACATCTTTTCCAGTTGCCACCGGCCACCCTTGTGACGCCCCGAGACCGATGTGCCAGGTGTCCTCCAGTTATTCACTGTTGTGGCCTTGTCATTTGCTTGCGTGTTGCATCTTGCCATGTCATCATGTGCATTGCATCATCATGTTTTTCAAAACTTGCATTAGTCCGGGTCTCCCAGTTCCGTCCATTGTCCCTTCTAAGCCGAGACACACTTGCACGCGCCCGCGGCATGTCCGAAATAGTATTTTATGAGTGGCCGGAAAATATTCTCGGAATGGGATAAAAGTTGTCGTGTGGTCTTATTATCATGTAGATAGACCGCCTGTCAAGTTTCATCGCATTCGGAGATAGTCTGTTACCCCAATGGATAACTATAGCGGCAGTATAGCCGGTCTAACGTCGGACGTTTTTGGTCTCCTAAAACTGTTGCCGGACTTTCCCTCTCTTTTCCTCCCTAGACCGTCTTCACATTTCACTACACACCCTCATGCCCTACCTAACCCCTCTCGTCAGCCCGCGGCCCTCCTCGCACGCGCGTCCGAAAAGCTGTCCCGGACCCGACTCGGACTGTCGCCATCGTTGTGTCCGGAACATCCCCAAACATCTACAAAACGTCACCATTTTTTTATTTGGACTACCTATCTATTTTATTCGCGACCGTCCGATTTTGATCGGAGGCTCCAGATAGTCCCTAACCAAAAATCCAATACTATAAATAACTAGTCAAACCCTAGCCTATCCTGTCCAATCCACCAATCCTCCTCGCCGCCGCCACTCTCTTCATCGGGATCCTCCCAGAGCCATCCACCCATTCCCAGTCGATCCCGACCAACTCCCTCGTTTTCAGCACCGGACCAACATTATCCTCCCCTCGATCCACCCAATCCCGCAACCTCCTCCTCCCAAGAGCCCCGGCCAGAGTACCACCGAGCAGAGCATCGGCCGACCCCAGCGCCTCGTCTCTTCGAATGAACCAGGGACGAACACCTCGCCGTGCGCCCTTGCTCTTTCTTCTCTTTCCCTCTCTTCCTCGCTGACCCTTTTCTCGTACCCGTGTCCCGCAGGAGCTCATCGCGCGCCGACCGTCCCGAGCTCCAATCCGCGACTCCCCTTGCCGGAGTTGAACCCAGGCACCTTCCCGCTACTCCCCGTGCCCTCGTTCCCGAGCTCCATCGAGAGGAGAGGAGCCCCT